GGGGGAGGAGAGGGGGAGACAAACAGGGGGAGCAACTTTGTGGTGGTTTAATTTTCATTTGATTGAATGAAATTGCCTCTTCAAGCTCACTGTGTTTGCGTTTCCCACACACACACCATCACAGTTTCCATCGCAAATAATTTACTCAAACAATTCGCTCTCACCGTTCGTCGCTTGAGGTTTAAATTCATCCTAGAAATCGGTGATTAAAATTTCTTTCAAAGTCAACCCTTCTGCTTATGAAGTTTGTATTAAATATTGGAGGATTTCGATGCATTTTTCACAGATAAAAATTGTTGAATTTTTTTTAACATTAATATTAAATTCAAATTTTCGAATTTAAATTGCCGCAAATTTAAAAAATAAAAATAACACGTGAAATCACAATATAATGAGGATTATTATGTAATTTAAAATGGTAAGAAATATCGTGTATTTTGCATGCCTTTTGTGGTTGTTTTTTCCATTTTTAAATCATTTGGCCTATAATTTGGAGAAATGATTGTCAAGACTAACAAAATTACTGATATGCAGAAATTGTCAAAGTTTTATTCGAGGAATATGTTAGTGACGTGCTCACTTCAGTCCGCTAAAACAAGAAACATGAAATTTTTATTAGACGACTTAACCCTCAATCAATTGTTGGTAGAAATCGTGAACAATTGAATCTTATTGGTTCAATCTTAAACTTTGACACTTCGAATAAGGGAATCAAGCCATGAAGATAAGGATCCCTGTCAAATAGCTAGAATTTATTAGGCTATGGAATTTTTACCACTAATTCCTTGCCACGATTTGAATCAAGTTGTCAGTTTCTGCTCATACACAAAAATATCTTGGCCATAGAAAAGATAACGTTTGTCTATGCAGGTTGACCAACCTCCCATTCCTAGAATATCAGTCAATCAACTTTGAAATTCCCGTAGGCGTATATGAAATCGGGAATTAATAGGTCGGTTACTAGGGTCTGAACGCCTGAACTGAATGTCATGGGCTATGGAATGGTCGAGCACAACAGTAATCAGAAGCAATTCACAATGTGTTCTCTAGATTAAAAATGATTTGAAAATATCAGAATATCTGACTTTGAAGAAGGTTTATAAACTACAGCGACACCTATAAGCAGTTGAGCACCGGTCTAACACCATTCTTTTATAAGTGCAAAATCGGGTAGCGGAATCAAAATAGACTAGGCAGCTGTTCTATCATCTACTTTAAAGTTAACCCATTAATCAAGTATTAATAGCTGAAATGTGGAATTTATTTTTAGCTTGCACTGGCGAATCGACACGATACCTCTTGCTCCCGGCCCTTTCGACATCTTCAGCCGCCATTATCAGCATGCCAAGTACATCTGAAGATGATGCCAACAATCACAATTTCATGAAGCCTACGAGAACAGAACAACGTAGACAATCTCAATGTGCCTGTGAAAGTACCGAAGATGACCATTATCAAAATAATGCTTTTCATCCCTCTCATCGGCCCTTTCTAACGCCACCACCTAAACGAAAATTCATCAAACCGCAAGAAGAAAGTAATGAAGTATTGGAGAATGTTCATTTCATGCTAACGGATAGCCAATACACTCCTCTCGTTGACAACTCAAACCCCTCGCAGAATCCCCACGAAAACCAGTACTTGATTATCACAAGTCGAGGTCCGGAAATGACTCCAGTCTACAACACAATTAGTAGAACCGTAACCACTCGTGGCTCATCCCTTCCAAGAAGCATTCGTGGATGTTCTCGATCCCTTGAAACTGTTGAAGAGAAGGACTTGCAGGAGATGAACCGTCTAAAAAATAATGTTGAAGGAGTCATTTTGGTGCCCACAAGAGCCTCACAATCTCAATCCCCACCAACCTTGAACAACAGCATCCATCCGAAGCCTCCAAATCTTCTCAGATTTGAAGAGAGTAATCAAGCCGCAGCGGCACGACTTCGAGCTGATTATATTTCCCTGGAAGATCTTTTTAGCTCCTGTGTTTAACGTATATTTTACTGTGTATGTGTATATTAAATGACGATGGATTTGTCTTCCAATGTATAATGAAATATCTTTGAACTTGCTATATTACATCACTTGTGTCTTCGTAAAGTTATTTTTTGCACGTGGTTAAAGATTTGGAGATCACAGGACAATCTTTAGAGAGGAAGTGTTCTGAAGAGCTGTAAAAAATCTTAATTTATACCTACTTAAATGCCATAAGCTAAGCACTTTTTGACTATCCTTCAGCTTTTGCTCAATAATTGAAGGAAAATGACTCTCTCAAAAGTGCATTGAGCCAATGTTAGTTTCAAATGATAATTTATTGCTAACAAATATTAGAAAGAAAAGTAATTTCGAACCGTCCAATCATATGCTGACGGTAAGGCTAGGGGTTTCATCATTTATTGATTTTGGAAAACAAATCGATTGATGGCCAGCCAAAAAAACTAATAAAGAGGTGCGTTTGGAAAGTTGTCCAGAATGAAGTCGGAGTTAAACAAGAGTCTCCCTCCATTCGGTTCACCTTCTAAATTCAAATTTTGTGCGTCGTCATTTAAACTACTGAGCATATTCATGTTCGTGATATCCAATGTGTTTCGGTAGATTGCCCAGATTGTATGCCCAATCAAATGAATCTAATGCGAGTATTCTTCCGGAGACTGAGAATACGGAGAGGAGCTGAATATGATCCACTCATGTTGTGTGCTAACTCTCGCCATCGATTGTAATCATTTGTAAGATGGATAGAAATTTAATTATACGTCAAAACCAACAAAAAATAGAATAATAGGCACAATGCAAAATCAAATTCCCGTAAACTATGAATGAATCAATAGCCCTATTAAAGGAGTATTTGACTCTGAAAAAAGGTTCCATTAACTACAAGGAATTTCGTATGTTTGCATAGTTCTGAATCTATATCCGCAAAAGGTTGAGTTACAAAACCCCCTCCCCCTACTCCCCCCCCCTCCCCCCCCCCCCCAAAATGTTAAAATTTACGGCATTTTAGCATCCGTTATGAAAAACATCGACGAAAGTTAATTTACATAAACTCAGACGAGATCGCTAATGCATCTAATCCCCTTTTAAAGTAGCCAAAAAGCTGTTGAAATAAAAAGGATTCTCTGGTTTCTGCAGTTTAACGCAGCTACTTGCGATGAGAGATATCGTAGGACTTTTAAATAGATGGTAAAAACTACTAGACTTTAATCATATTGCTGAAGGAATCTCTCCCTGGTAGAAGAAAAGACGACTCGTTAAACTCCCATTAATCTCTCGGTTGAGGAACACAAATGTCATCTTTCCGGAGGTGGGTTTAATAACAAACCATCCGCCCTACTCCAAATGCAGCTGCTCTTTATAGATTAAAGCAAAATATTTGTGTAAAAATTTCTCATCAAAAACGTCTGAAATAGCAGTTTCCGCTTCTCTATTCGAGTGATTTATATGGAAGAATATTTTATAATATAAAGTTTGGCCAAATTAGCACTGCAATTTTATTTTAATTAGTATAAAATTGATTAAAATTGTGTTGAAAATGAAAAAGGGTTGGACAATGCTCGACTAAAGATCGTTAAAAAAATGGACCAATGTATTTCAATTTTTTCATAAAATTTAAGTAGGAATTTATTGTTATAATAAATGTATATTAACAAACGAGAATAAACATTTATCTACTTGCCAATTAACAGAATCTATTCTTTCATTGAAGGAAAATAATACCCAGAAGGCGAAAATGTCATCTACCTCTTTATCAGATCAATTCAAAAATAGCTTTTATTCTTTGAAAGAAGATTAATAATTGATGAAATTCATGAAGTTGGACGTTCGTTTTCAATTGTATGCTATCCTTTTTATGACCGAATTGGATAATGAGTACCAGTTTCGCCCTAAAATGCCCAATAATGCCACTGTAAAATGGTAAATGTCTGACCTCAGGATAAAATGGAAAGGAATTGCGCATTATTTAGTATTTTGAATTTATCCATTCTATTGACAGTTACCTTTCATTCGGTAATTTAATTATGCCATTTTGAGATTATTGTTCACAGAAGTCCAATAGTAACACCTGCAGGCGATAATGCTAAAAAAGATCGCTTTCAAAAAAATTTGAACAAATTCTTTCTACCTCATCGTATTAATCACAAAATAATTCTGACACAATAGTCCTGAAGATGCATATAACTATTTTGCTTAAGTTTGTTAATTAATTCCATACACGGGCGCAAATCTAATTCATTCATTCATTAACACCAAACCACTCATGTAAATGGTGGCATATTGAAACATTGCATAATAACCTTTAATTAGTATCTTTAATATGATGTGTTAAGTTTTAGCCCTAGTGGTACAGCTTTTTAACCAAATAAGCAGTCTAATTTAAAATGTTGTCAACAAATACACGTCGTAGCATATGCCGAAAGTTCTCATTTAAAACTAATCCAGTAGACAATTTGAACTCATTTGAACGTTGCCTCTCCAGCACATTTGGAGTTCACTTTTGGCGAGGAGATGATGCAACACTTCTTTCAAACACCACCTAAAAAGAGACCTCTCGACTTTGTCCTTTCATTAGCACCACATTGATCAGCACGCACTTTTGTTTCCTTGTGGATAATTTTGCTGATTTCCATCAATGCGCATTCAGAGCATACTTAAAGTTTATTTACGTAGAGGAGAGTAGTGTAAACCTCTATTCAGTCCGCTTAGGAAACACCTTCGCCTATTTAAGCCACTTGTTATTGATTTTATGCTTAATGGTGCACTAGATGTTAGTAACTATTGGTAAGTAGTAAGTTCGTTAATATACAAAAAGCAAAATAGCAATCAGACAACGATTTGACATTCTGAAAGAAGAAGAAGAGCGGAAAGTGGCATATACAAACAGATAACATAAGAACTTGAGACTGCAGTAGACAGATAAGAATACAGGTAAATATGCCGCCGTCAACACTTCGGTAAAATGCTAACTGGAGCGCCCAAATTATTAAAATATGAAGACCACAAAGACTGAAATAAGTTTAAATTCCAACATTCAAAACCACTAATTTGCAGTCAGAAGGTAGATCAGAGTGTGCTCGGGTATGCTTTATCGAGGTAATGGAGAAAGAGATAGTAATCGGGTTTGATTTGATATTTTTGTAAGAGAAGAAAACGGATCCGTGCGGATGAACGATAAAGTCTCATCTTGATATCACGGGATGCGCAATAGACTTACCACGTGGTGTACCCTGGGCAACGTATTCTCATACGGCAAAATGTCTATAAACCGGCAGTTGACTTCTCACTTCAAACTACCATCACCTCACTCTATGCCATATTCGACTGCTTCCACATTACTCACCTCACCTTTTTTCTACCTTTGTGTCTATCTCTTTTGCATCTTTGAATCTCTCTTCTGCTTCCCCTCTCGAATTTTCCCACTTTGATGTTCCTTCCCCTCTGTGAGGCCTGAAGTCAACTAAAGGGCTAATGATAACCATCAAAACGCCTGCCATTTGATATTAATAAATATATATATATATATTTTGAAATAAATAAATGTTATGGCATTGAGTGACTCAGCTAAATGGCTAATGATATCTATCAAAACGCCTGCCACCAACTAAAGGGCTAATGATAGCTATCAAAACGCCTGCCATACCGAAGTCAGTTAAAGGGCTAATGATAGCTATCAAAACGCCTGCCATTTGTTAAGGGCTAATGATAACCATCAAGACGCCTGCCATTTGATACAGGGCTAATGATAACTATCTTCAAAACTCCTGCCATTTGATATAAATAAATAAATAATTGGGAACAGCCTGCCATTTGATATTAATAAATAAATCTTGTTATCACTTAAAGAGACAGACTATTAGCAACAAAAACCAAGTGCTTAAACTCATAGGTGGGATAAAGTAGGCTTACAGGCTTACACATAGGTCATTGCAGGTTGGGGAAATTCAAACGAGGAAATTTTTACTGCATTCGGTGACATTAGGCTATAGGAATTTGTAGAGTAAGCGTTTGAACCAACATGTTTAGTTTGGAGATGTCTCAAAAATAGCGTGAGCAATATACATTATTGTAACTACCAAAACGGACCAGTTATTTCTTGGTAAATAGTGTAGAAGAATATAGATTTCCAAATCAAGGACTCTCCTGAACGTCTTCACACAGGTGAGAACAAGGCTCAGTTATCTTCGGAATCTTCCGTAACCATTGTGACACCTCGAGTTATTCGTTGCTAAATGTTATTCCATAGTGAATTAAACTGCTCTCATACTAATTATGTATGTTCAAATATATCGAGTTTCATTAGGTTGTGCATAAACAGACTTTGTATTAATAAATCAATGTTTTTTATCATGTCCTCAAATAAAAAGGCAAATATGCGATTTAAATTAGACCGACAAAATAAAATAGAAATTTCGAAAAAATATTTACTTTAACTAAACCGCAATTTTACGCTTTTATCAGTTAAAAAATATAGAAAAATATTACATTGTAATGCTTTACAACTAGATCTAAAAAATTTATTTAATTATAATTTTTTAAGTAGATGTAAATTAAAATGCTTGCGATCATTCAAATAAGAAATAAATGCACCTAATTTACACATGACCGTGCTAAAGACAAAATAAAAGCAATATGTATATAATGCTAGTAATTCAATAATACGGGAAATAATGTGCCAATTTTATTGGGGTCTTATGAATGGAAATTTAATGATAAAAGTAGTTTTGCTTGAAACAATTAGGATTATGTAAAAGTAATGAAAAGCAATTCACATTCACAATTGGCTCTCAATAAGTTATTGTGGCCATTCAGGTGATGACATTCTTTAAATAGCAGTAAGAATAACAATACTGCTATTGAATTAATTAAAAAAAGCTATGAACAATTATAGCGTTTGTAGTACAATATAGAAAAGAATAATAGAAGACTGAAATTACAAGAAGGTTATTCGATTAATACCCGAATTTGTTACATCAAATCTGTTTTTTTAATTTTGCTTG